GAAGGATATGTTTGTCACAGGCTCTTTAAAGCAGAAGTTCTCAAACCGGGGTCCCAGGACCCCCAGGGGTCCACAAGAGGTATATGAGGGTCCTCAAAAAAGTTCCCTAAATTGTTAATTTGGTTTTTTTTTTTAATGCACGGGGGGAAATGAACTAATAAAACAAACATAATAAACTAAATAAAACACATGTACCCTTGGCATTTAGGGGTTGAAATGACAGTTAATTATTTTTTAAAAACAGCATTGGGTTTACGAGGGGGGTCCCTGGAATTTTTTTGCCCTTGTAAGTGATCCTCATACCCAAAACCTTTGAGATCCCCTGCTTTAAAGGAATGCTAAGTTTTTTAAATCTTGCAAATCACCTTCAGCTTCATCCTTCATCTTTAGAGAATGATGTCACTAACTCTGCCAAAGACTTCATGAAAGATGCAAAACATCCCTGCATCTTTAATGCTCCTAAATGAGAAACTCTGAACATCATATAGATAGATCCATTTAAAGAAGTTGAATAATGCACCATGGACACAGAAAATATGAGGTCCAGGCGGCGGACGCTCTCTGTAGCTTTTCCATCACTCTTTTCTAATCGGACGCTTCTACTACTCACGTTTTATGCTCCAGAAAGGCAATCACTGCTTTCTACTCAATCGACTGATTCTCTCCGTTTCTTTCTGCTTAAACTCATCGCTGTCACTAAACATCGCATTCGCACGAGTTACACAGAGCATGAACTGTGTCCCAGCTCTATGAAGTCCACATTTTATATTAATCTGATCTAATCTAATGTGAAATCAACAGAGCTATCAATATCCTGTCAACATAATCAGTTTAAATTTCTCATCAGTCTCAGGTTCTGGTTCACATTAACCGTCCAGTCCGCAGCATTAAGATGCTATCAGCCCTTGTCGAACAGTCCAGGTGTTTACCTGTGATTACGCCGCAGCAGACACTAAAGCCCTAAACCGCAGCTCCACACATGCACTAATGTTCAGGCATGTGTGGAAGCATGGCAGGGTGTCAGCTGGTGGGTGTGTGGCAAGGATATAGATTAGGCGAGCGTGCGCGAGTGTGTTCCCCGCCATTCTCAGCTGCTCCCTGCAAATCACCCAGAGACGCTTTAACTGCCCCGGGTCTTTTCAAAACGGGGAAAATGGCACATTAAAAAAAACACCTCTTCCTAAATCTGTGGCTTTCTGTAACTCAAACACATTTTACCCAGTGGGATTTATTAGAATCAGAACAACAAAGAGAGCGAGAGAGAAAGATGTAAAGCATTAGATTTGTTTCTTTTCTGCAAAGTTACAAATAAGATGATTAAAACAATGATTTGAAGCAGGTGCCGTCTTTCAAATTACAATCCTTGCATGAATTTTCAAGCCAAAAATTCTGGTATTTGTTCAGAGAATGAGCATTAAAGGCATTAAAGCTAAGTTCCTCTTTGCTGGAATGCCGATTTGTTTCATTCGGGAGAACTGAGCCCTTTTTTTTGTAAACGTGCAATAACCTCTGCGTGCTCAGCAGTCGGGAGAGGTCAAAGATGAAGAGAGCCAACAATTGCCAAACCTCCCGCTCCAAATCCCCACACTCTCTCTCAGCTGCGTCTCTCCCAGCATGTGAGAACATGGTGTGTGTGTGTTTGTGTGTAGGCGTGACGGAGCCAAGACAGTGTGCAACGTCTTTGGCGAGAGTCTGCTGCAGAGACTTCAGAGGACCGAGTCTGATGCGCAGAGTTTTCAGAACTCYGTGTCACTTCTGAAAGTTTGTTGGTGAAACCCGAGAGACGGTCGACTTCGTTCACGAGTCAACACTAGAAACAGTGAATACTGTACGTGTCGTGCTTAAAAACATCTGTAACTTTAACTCTGACAGGTGCCAATGAAGCCATTCCCCCAAATTTCAACATCAACTTGTAGTAAATTTTTAGGCTCAAACAAAACACTACATTTAATGCTTAAACTGTATGAGAAGTATACAAAGAAACTAAAGGAAATGTTAAAGCTGCTGCTAGTGGCTCATAAGGCACCTGTGTCTCTGCCTTCCTCCCTGATGACACTCTGAAGGCAGGCAGACAGAAACGCAGACTAAAAGGAAGCCTCAAAGAGTTGCTTTGCAAAAACCGAGGGTCGTGTCTTTGAAATTCCTGAGCAGCAGATCACACTAATGGTCACACAAGAATCGATATGTTTTTGCGATGTTTTATAGCAGACGTGACGAGGGTTTCATGTAGGATTTTGGAAGAAGTCGTCAACACTTTAAGACATCCACGCTGCTTACGAAGCCTACGTCAGTTTATGAAATTCAAAAAGTCAAAAAGAACAAACTGAGACTGGAAAGTGTGACGGCACAATAAATGTGCACAGTATGCTTCAGCCAAACTGCCGAAATCAGATTGTCACAGTTTCGCAATGAAAATTGMGTCKTTCTGTTTGCATTGTCGACATTTTGGCACCTCCTTGTCGCAACCCTCTGGCCGAACATTTTACCCCCCACCACATAAGAACTTRTTGTGTGATTGGGAGTGTTTGTTATGCCGACAGCGCTCAAACGCTGCATTTAGCTTCAACTACTGGCTTAAAACAAAAAACCTACTCGCTTCCAGACCCCAATAGGCAAGCAGAAGCAGATATTTATAAAGATCGTCAAACTCAAACTCATGGATGGAGATAAGAAGATGTGTGTGAAAATGAACATTGAACAACCACATCGTCCGTTTGGCTGCTGAGCGACCACGCTGAAGCCTTACCTTCTTTATGTGTCGTCTACTGGCTTTATTGGGGCACCTGTTCTCCCATGTATGTGATTCTTTTTGGGTTTGTCTCTCTCTCTTGAACGGGTTGTTCCAAACTATAATTTCCCTTTGGGATCAATAAAGTATTTTGAAATAAGTCGAATAAAATAAATGCAGTCATCCTCACTGCCACTTACAGAGTTTACAAAAGTTTACAAAATTTACATAGGGTGAAAAAAAACTCTACAATGATGTCATCATGCCAGTATCAATCCAATACCAATACTCATTACGATATCTTAGACAGATACGTCCACCAGTACTAGAAGAGGTTGCAGGAGCAAGAGTTTGCTCAAAAGTTAGTGTGATGTCATCAAGTGTCAGTTTAACGTCTCAAAAGTCAGCTGTGATTGTATAAAAATGATGAAAGAATCTGAAATACTTCTTTCATGTAAAGTTCAACTTCCTGTTTAATCTCTGAATGATGTTTCTGCTGTGAAGTCTGCCTTTCATATGGTGTCTACAACAAATGCACGATTACTAAAAGTATTATTTAGTTTATTTTCTACCTTCACCAGCTTCTGTTTCAGAACTTTTACTTGTGATTGAACACACAGAAGCGTTCACCACAGGTTTATGTTTGCATTTTCTTCCGCATTAAAGCTTCCTTGTCCAGAGAGAGCAGACGATTACGTGAAGCACCGAGCTGGAAAGCTATGATCCTGGCCTGCAGCTAAAAGTCCTAATAAAACGAGACCGTTTTGCATTTTCACTTTTTTGAATGGCGAGTACGTTACTCACTGAACCACAGAAATGCCYGAAGGCCCCATTTCTGCATGACAGTGTGTGTTTAGATAAAACGTGGGCAGATTTATTTAAGCTCCACTTCTAATGACTTTTTCTGATTGACTTTAGGTCTAAAGACTGATCTTGTTTTAGAGCTGAGCTTTTAATCTGCTCAGTCCACCTTGAAAACAGGTCAGAATTATTTGATAGGATGCTCAATAAGCCGTGGTCTAATTCTCATTCTATCCCTTTAGAACTGAGTGGACTCTACCTTTTGGAGCAACCTGCTGCAGCCAGAGAACCACTTAACTCTTAGTGCTTCATCCGACCTGCTCCTAAGTCAAGATGAAGACTTGAAGAGAGTCTGAAGATGAATGAATGAATTAGTGAGCTCTTCCTGCAAGTTGAACTTGATCCTCTTGATGCCTCTCTTTTAAAGCTTTCAAGCAAAGATGGTGGATGGCTTTTAATAAACGTCCCTGATTAACTGTTATATTTTTGTTTTTATTGTATAGTGCAGGGGTCTGCAACCTTTGCAGTCGAACGAGCCATTTCTGCCACTTTGGCTCATTAAAAAATGTTTCTGGGGATGGAAAACATGCTATAACTGTGGTTATCAACTGCTGGTTCATGGGCCATTTTAAGTTTGTTGAAGGGGGGCTTTTCTGGCCAGTGGGGGTGACGTTATAAAACTAAAAATATCTAGTAAATTTTAACATTTATTATTATTTTTACACTTTATGACAAAGGAAAAGACCATATTCATGTAAACAATAAAAACCATACCACCCTGAACACGCCAGATCTCGTCTGATCTCATAAACTAAGCAGCAGTGGGCCTGGTTACCGGATGGGAGACTGCAGGTGCTGTAAAACCAATGTAGGAGTTGCACCCACATTGGAACTCTATGGAAAACCTCTGACCATCAAAGGTTGCCTTCTAAGAAGGATAAAACAAAACTATGCAGGCATCTCTTTTTTTTATTTTAATCATTATCTAGTCCAGTCCTAAAGGTTAATGTGATGATTTGAGAGAAAAATCATATTTTAAGGCTAGAAGTTGGATTATTGAAGTGGCTAACAGGCTACATGAGCTAATCAACATGCTTCACTCTTTGTATTAGTAATATTGATCACATATTTGCAAACAAATTGGCAACAAAACTGTTAAAGGTGTGAGCATAAACCCCCCAAAATTTAATCTCCTTTTAGCTTTGGTTGAAGCTTCAAAGAGCCACTGCAGAGGAAACAAAGAGCCGTGTGTGGCCCCAGAGCCACAGGTTGCAGAGCCATGGTATAGCATTAGTAGGAGGACAAGAAATACTGTAAGAGGAAAAAAAAAAGCAAAATCCAGACATGACTTAGTTGGGTCAAGACTTCCACCACCATGACTTCAGGCCATTTTGAACAGATACTGATTGTCTAAATTGATTTTCAGCTTCTGTTTCATTCAGTTTTACATTTCCCGTCTCTTTCGCAAAGTCTGTTTCATCAAATCATTTGCATTACARGAGTAATTCTGTGGATATCCCAAAGTGTTTTTTGAAACAGCTTTGATGATTTCCTGACATGCAGCCTCCCGTCGTCAAGCTAATAATAACTGTTGTTCTCTCAGACAGCAGTTTTGTTGCGACGTTGTATGGTCAAAACCTGATCAGAGACAACGGTTAGTCGTACAGATCATCTATTTTGACAACAAAGAGTGTACGTCGCCTCCTCTTCCACAGATAGTTGCTTTAATGCTCACATACGATTTCACTGAAGCAGTAATTTGGTGACAAAGCTGCTTAAATGACAAGAATACAACAGCCTCTCTGACAAAACAYGTTTCTGTTTTTTCTTGAAGAGGCAGGTTTGATATCACCAATTTCCTTTCCAATCCTACTGAGTAAAACTGATCTGCTATCTATACTCTGTAAATAAACCTATGTTTGGCAAACCTGAAAAAGTAGGGTGTTTCGAATCACCTCATCAAAAAGAATAGAAGACATCAAAGTACTGTCATTTATTTGAAACTCGCAAGTATCAAAGTGTCAATATTTAGATTTTAATATAGACTTTAAAGCATAAAGTTCTGGTAYTGCTCTGTACAGTTAAAATCAACCCACTGCTGTTATGCCTCTGAAGATTTATCAAAAAGAGATGCATTAAAAAAGAGTTACATATAAATGACTTTTCTAAAAAGCCTGGACACAGTTTGGGGAATTTTACTTTATTTTAGTTTCTCCCTGAGTCAAAAACTAATAAATTCAGCAGGACCGACCTTTTTCTTTACTTATTAAGTCTGATCGTCTGATCTTATATCAAACAGCCGTATTTGCATAAATGGGATCAAAGTATGTAGCCTTGATCCCAAAGGCATTTCAGAATCTAGCAAAATTAGGCAAGTAAACAAAGAAGGGGTGAGGGGGAAGCATATTTTCCTACACTTTGTTTGAAAGGAGACCCACTGGTTCCGACTCTGAAAACCTCTCCATGGAAATCCAAAAAGGTTAAGAGCGTTACAAAAGAAATTAAGAAAAAAAAAGAAGTAAAAAAGCTGTTACTTCAGAAAGGCTGATCAATTAGAGTGGCTTAAACTGAGCCCTCTCTTCAGCTAATGCCAGAATAATAATATTTTAAAATGCTCATTACAAACCAGTAAGTAACATTCTGGAGAATCAGACACACATAGACACACACACACACACACACACACACACACACACACACACACACACACACACACACACACACGCACAACCAGCAGTTCTGCTCCTCATTAGTGCCAAAACCATTCACAGAGCTTTAATGAGAATATGGACTCTGGAACAAGGCAATTCAAGCAAGCGCGCACACACGTACACAGACACACACACACACACACGCACAGCTGCCCTTCACACTATGAGCCTGCAGGGTGTGACAGGCAGGCACGCCAAAAGAGGATTTTCAGAGAAAAGCTTTGGGGAGGAGAAGGAGAGTGAGAGATACGGAGGAGCAGAGAAGAGGGGATTACATGGTGAATATTTCAATACTTAAACATACCAATTGGTTTGGATTCCCCTCTTTGGCACGGCATGACAGACACACACATAAACACACAAAAGGCATTAGCGGGGCTGTGTCTTCCGCAGCCGACTTAGCACTKATTAGCGAGGTGACGAGGAAAACTAATAAAATAAACTCTCTTTGTGACGAGTGTTTGAACCTGCTGCGACCGGAGAACCAAATCCAAACTTAAACAGTTTGAGATTCTGATGTTAAAACTAATAAAACTGAGGCAAAGACTGTGAWGAGTTATAAAATGTCCTATAGAGGACTTTGCAGCAATGCTACAAGGTTCCATCTTGTGTTATTAAATTATGACCACAAGGAGTAAAGACAGGAAATGACACCCATGTAATAAAATTCAGCAATTTAATATGAGCTGTACGATGTATTTATCACAGGACATTTTTGAAAAGTTCAATCATTGTACGTTCATCTTTTCTTTAAGTAATAATTTATCACTGTATTTCCCCCTCAGTCGTATGCTTTGTGTTTATTAGAACCAAATTAATAAAGAGAGAGGCATCAATCTAAACTCCACTTGACTAAATATGGATTGAAATCTAGTTTAGTTTAGTTTAGTTTAGTTCAAACATGTATACAAAACGAAACAAAAAATGATAAAAAGTGATAACAAAATTAATATATTTGAAAAGGAAGGGAAGAAGTCAAAAACTTATTTAATCCCATCTTTCTCCGAAGCTTATTAACAAAAAAAAATGGTTAAATATTATTTTTCCTTATTCTAAGTTAAATTTAGTTTTCTGCAACATAAATTTTAAACGGTTCTCCCTACCTATAACATGTATATCTGACTGAACTGCTGGGGGTGGAGGTATTTCAAATTATTTGTATGAATGTGTTTTTATGAACTTGTTTTATGAATTTTTATAGGTTTTTTAGTGTTATGCTTGATGTGTTGTTCTGCATATTTTAGTATATAACATGTCTGGTGAGCCAGAGGAAAATTTYCACTATGGTGGACATTAAAGTTCTATTCTATTCTATTCTATTCTATTCTATTCTATTCTATTCTATTCTATTCTATTCTATTCTATTCTGTGCAGAATCTCTTTATCAAACCTCTGAATGAGGGCTGGGCAACTGGTGGCCCACAGGCCGTGTGTGGTCTGTGGGTGACTTCCATATGGCCCCCACTTAGACTCTACAAGCTGCTTTAAGAGTGCTTTTTTTGTTGTTTAAAAATGATAAAATAATAAAAAAGTTTATTTTGGGAGTTAATCTTTTCAGAATTTAAAGGCAAACCTATGTGTTTAGAGTTAAAGTCACTGTCTGCCATGAAGGATTTCAATATAAGTCACCACTATAACACTTAGCACAAAGCTAAATATGAAAAGTTTACTGAAGTCACATGCAAATAAACAGCAATGCCTTTTTTTTTTTTTACCAAATCCAGACAAGTCTGACCTCAAGGCKTCTTAAGCTGTTGCACTTCAACTCGCTTTTATTTTTGTTAGCGTCAAACATTTTGTACTTACAACTGTCACACATGCATTTGCGCATGAAATATGTTGAGTTACTGCATGTATATATAAACATTTTTGAAATGTCAGTTTTATTACATTTGGGTTTGCAGCGCAATGTAGCCCTCTAGTAGTTTCAACAAAAAATTGTGGCCCCTTCCAACATTTAAGTTGCCTGGCCCTGCTCTAAATGTAACTTATTTTCTGTGAAAATTTTAAGCTACAGCTGATCTACAAGCCTGAAAACCTTACAGTGCACATAAGAGCTATAGGTCTCTGCAAACAGAAACCTGGATTAAACAGCAGGGGGGCGTGGATGGCAGAGAAGAGCCATGTTGCGAGGYTGGAGGTCACAGCAACATTCCAGATAAAGGAGGGCTGCAGGAATGCTAAAGGACAGAGGGACCGGCTGCTGGCTGGAACGACGACAGCCRCAAGCTGGTCGGGTCAGCAGGGAGCGAGGCTGCAAAGCTGTGGGGAGAGGCATCGAGATGGGAGGGAGGAGGCGAGGAAACATAGAGGGAAAATCCAAAAAACAACCAAAGCAGAGAAGGAGCTGAATCTGTGTGTGTTCATGCATTTGATTCTGTAATTTTGATGAGCCTGTTTCTGGGGGCTGGGGGGCGTCTTTTTCTTACGCCGCAGGAGTCCAGCAGACGGTTTCATTGTCCCACTTAAACACTGGAAGCACCGCAGACACAGTTGTCAAGCTTTATGTCATTGTGTGCATGTATGTGTGTGCAAAATTGTGTGTGCGTTCAGTTAACAGTAAGCACACTGCAGTCTAGACCGAGGGATCAAGTGTAATCTCTCCTCTGATACAGCTGATAGGCTTAGGTCAYGGACCACTGTCACTGTGTCAACAAAGTGTCAGTACTGTAAGAATGTAGCTCTTCTTTTCAATTCTCTATATAAAAAACAAGATAATATTAGCTCCAACTGTTTTTTTGATTCTTGAAAAATAAGAATTTAATAGTAAAAAGGTTTACATAACGTCTGTGAGATGTGTTTCTGCAGATCAAGCCTTTTCTCTCACCACTAATGGACGCTCAGGAAAAGAGAAAAACCCAGCGTGAGAAAAACAATCTGCAGTCATTAATGATGCAAAGAGAGCAAAGAGTAATCACTTTCACACTGTTACTCACCAGGTCAACACAAACCATCTTTTATCATCTGAGGTAGAAGAAACTTTATTAAGAACTTGAAATAAAGGGTAAATAGGAGCATTAACTTTTGTTTTAGTGTTTTAATCCATAAAAAATAGGACAGTCTAGCCATCCTTACTGTGATCATTTAATGTCGGTGAGGTAACGGCAAAAGGAAAGACTAAAACACTTCATACTCCATAAAATAACCTCATGAGTCATCCTGATGCAGCTCAATAATCCAGGTAGATAAATCAAATAAGGTTGAATAAAGTCCTCTGAGTGTGTTCTTATGAACCTCTTTGCCACAGTCTTGGCGCTTTTCAGCCCACCAGTTAAGGGTTTTGTCACTGTTGGCTCCCACCCCTTGAGTACCATCAATCTGAGGTGGTACTCAGGGACCAGCACAATTTGGGGAGCGGGTATAAGCCTGTAGGAACCATTGATTGGCCAGTGGAGATACATGAAACACCCTGAATATCCACTCAACAGTACTGCATACTGCATCAGAACCACCATTTCTCATCCGGGTGATTCAAGTTTTGGTATCTGCAACGAAGGCTCTGAAAGTGCCATGGTCGAATGATGAGGTCCATGGGAAGTCTTTTGGATAAAAGACAAAAAGTTTTGTTGAAGAAGAACCCATCCAGAGGACCTGACTCAACTTTGTTAAACCTGATGAATTGTTTTAAGAACAGAGAACTTCAAGTACTCATCAAAAATTGTTTTAACAGTTATATTTAACTCTAACCCTGATTCTATCCCACCCTGTCGGACAGGATGCTCATTATTGGAATAAACCATAATTTTTGAGTTATTGCCTAAATCCAACCAACAAGTTAGGAGTGCACTGATAAGTCAGATGGTCGATTTATCGGCATCGATATCCTTTATTTTGGGAGATCAGAGATTGGCCGATACTTCGACAAGATTGGTGAAGATCAGCTTTTCATCTACCTCTACAAAGGTCTGAAAATCAATGATTGTCCCCTTCAGCTCTGCTGTGAGCACTACCTAATAGAGATGTGTATTGTTTCAAGGGTATTGTTCAATGATTCCAAAGTAAGATTGGAACGTTGAAGGTGTATTGTGACCTTATAACTCCTGAACTGTCGGTTATTCAAAGAATCGGTATCAAAAGTCGGAATTGGCAAATCAGACTTTTTAAAGATTGGTGATCGCAATCGGGTAGAAAGCTACGACCGGTGCACCCCTCCAACAAGTTACAAATGTGTTTTTATCACGTAGTGCCTTATTTGACCAAAGTTATCTGACAACAGCAACCACAGCACTTCCTGTCTCTTTGAGAAAATGTTGCACATAAATTAAAAGAWGGCTCTAAATATGTCCGTAGGAGTTGTATTGGACAATAAAACATGGTCAAATGGGTTAATCCAGTGAATCATGTTTGATAAAACGTATGGACACAGCTGATGGTCAACATCAGGGCAGTATTGAGTGAAACACAAATATTTTCACTGTAATCACCCTGAAACAACCTGCAACCACACCTGAGCAATCAAGTCATTCCCACACAAATAGTGTATTTATACAAAATACACAGATTATATGACAATTTGAATAGGATAAACTTCACATCTACTGAAGGCGAGGGGAGATGTATGGATCCAAATTGCCAGATTGTTTGAGTTCACGCACAAGAGAGCTTGTCAGTATAGCTTTATTGCTTTCTTTCTCTTATTTGATATAAGAAGACAGCCTCTCCCACTGCGTGTGTCACAGAAAAACTATAAAGTGTATAGAAATTCTGTCAGATTATTACCCCCCGGAGGCGAAGACATAAAAAAAATCAACATGGCGTTGAATGGCAGAGCAAGTAATGATTAAAGCTTCTCCTAGCTGTTTTGTGCTCGACAGGCTGTGTTTAATTAGAAGAGATTGACGAATAAATATTAGTCTAAAGACAAAACTACAGTGTGTGTAAACAAAAGCAAATTGGTGCAAATTAAGAGATCCTTCCACTTAACTCTTCAGCGACTGGTAATTAATTCACACACACACACGTTACCACAAACCCTCAGATTTAATTAAAAATAACTTCATTACCCCGAGCTTTAAACCTCTTCGCCTTAAAGGAATAAAAACCTGGAAACAAGTTAGCAAAACAGACAACAAAGAAACAAAGTAAAGCCAGGGTGAAGACACCGAACGCCTCGGCTGCGTGACGAAACGTCCGGAGACGAGGTGGGACAAGTCCGAGCCAAACATCAGGATCAGTGCTTTGTTCTTAACACATCTGCATCCTTTTTGCTCAAGAMGTAATCACTTAGAGGCGAGAAAAAAACTTTAATTAAGCTTTAAAGAGCAAAGACAAAAACACATTGAAGGTGTCATTTTCTCCAAGAATAAGGTCAGATATTGGGTTTCAAGCTTGGAGCCAGATTTAGCCCATAAGTGAATCTGATACCAGAGGATACTTTGTGCCTCGCTCCCTCTGTGCCCTTCAGTTTGTGGCTCTAAAGCTCACATACAAATGATACAAAACACTTGTTTTCCTTTCCTATCAGGCAAACACAAACTACTGGACCCCTCTCTTCCCTCACCAGCTCCCTCCGCTCACTGTTTTCACACAGTCCATCTGACACCTCAGTGCTGTTCAGGGTGTATGATATCATCAGTCTGCCAACTACAAGGCAGGCTGACATTACCGGCTGCCAGGACAGCAGAGGAGCCAAACACAAGCCGACTCACAGATACATGCACAAATGTGTCAAGTCTGAGGAGAGAGGAATCAGAGCGTGCACATGTCCGCTGCTGGGAACGCTCACCTGCACCTGCATGAAGGACCCCCGGTAGAAGCAGCATGCTGCAGCCGACAGGGCGCTCCACAGACTGCACCGCTCCGTCATGGTGAGGGACGCACCTTCGGAATCTTTCCTCAAACCTGTCTTCCTACTTCACTTCTTCTTCTTTTCCCTGTCTACTCCACTCCACCCGGGGAAGTGGTGGTGGTGGTTGGGGGGCTCCAAACACCAGCCACAGCCTCGTCCCACCCCTGCCCGGCCCCCGTTCTCAAAAGCCCATCAACATTGTGCCGCCGCCAACCGATAAGAACTGCGGGGCCGCAGCCTGCAGCGTCGGCTACGACACGTGAGGAGCGAGCCCGCTAACAGCTGCCACTGATAACAGGAAGAGGCGATACGACGCCTGACATCCTCCCCGCTTCTGCCCCGCGCCGGCTTCTGTCGCTCCCGCTCCTCGCGCTCCTCGCACTGCTAGGGATTACCTCATTGCCTGCCGATGAAAGGAGAGTGGGTGGGGGGAGGGTGGACCAGTGTGTGTGTGTGTGTGTGTGTGTGTGTGTGTGTGTGTGTGTGTGTGTTTTATTCCAGCTGTTGCTTCCTGACCTCCAAACCAGCATCACAAACCTGTCATTCCGGTGTCAGCCACTCCCCTCCTAACCTTGCCACTTCCTCTCACCTTTTTTTTTTCTTTTTTTTTTCCTTTTTTTTTTTTTGGTCTCCTCACCTCCTCCATCCTCACTCCTCTGGTGTGAAACCCGCGATTTAGAATAATACGGCCACTTATGGGCGCTCCTGGGAACCAGAGGTGTCTGCTCAGCACATAATGAATGAGTGTAATGTAGCGTAGTGTAATGTGATAGCTTATACCTCTTCCCTCCCATGGGATGGCGGACAGTTAAATATAGAGGAGGAGGTAAAGTAACCAGGGATATTTTTAATGGACTCATTATARCACTATCATTGATAAAAAAGAGAGATAAAAAAACCCAGCACTCACACACATACTCTTTTTTTCTTTACACTTGCTTTCTCGATTTGTCTTCCCTGTCACAGTCGCTCAGCAGGTTTTCTTTTTAAATGACTTGAAGTCTGCCTGCCTCGGTATGCAAATGATTTAAAATACTGTGTATGTGTGTTTATGTGCCTCGGATGAGGTTAATTAGTGTGTGTGACAGCAACATATGTCGTGCGTTGGCTCAGTGCAAGTGGCCGAATCAGAAAAGAAGAAAAATCTGCCTACTGGTTCACCGGCTGCCCAGAATCTGACTTCAGCCAGGGAAACAGAAGAAGAAACTCTCAGCCTCTGAGGAGATTGTGCTTATGTTGAATCTTTGGGGACCGAAAACACAAATTCCGAGCGGCTGTTATTATGTGGGATTTTCTCCTCTAGMGTCTCCTAGAGGCGGTGATTTAAGATCTTTGCTCTAATCCACCACCTTCGATCCCCTGAATAATCAATCCAWTTTCAATTGAGAAGCTATTTATCATAGCAGAGGATGAGCAAGGTTAGTGTTTGGAGCCGTGGTGCTCAAAGGCTGCTGATGACTTGTTTTATGGAGGGTGCAGTCTGGAAAAATCTGACCTCTGGGAACAATCGTGACTATAGGATTTAAATGTTTAAAACTCAAAACTCTAAAACCACATGTAGTTGTGCTTTTAATTTGTCTGTTCATCCATCCATTCATCTTTTGTTGTGCTGTTGTGTGGGATGTGTGCGGTTTGACCTGATAAATGACTACAGAATCAATTAAAGGGATTCATGATTAGTTGTAACATCAGACTTTATTTGATAAACATTTACTTTAACTGTAAAATAAAGACTGTAAAAATACTGTAGGCNGAGAGAGAGAGAGAGAGAGAGAGAGAGAGAGAGAGAGAGAGAGAGAGAGAGAGAGAGAGAGAGTCTTGGCAGCATCCAAAAATCTGACACTGCACTTAATTGGTCCTGCATCACTGCAGAGGCACAGAATGGATATATATCCAGTGTGTCGTGAGGTATTTTTGGTAACACAACAGACAAACGGGCAAAAACATTATAATTTCAGCAGCAGACAGTTGGATAAGCTTGTTTCTTTTTTATGTTTCACCTCACAATAACCCACACAGATGATCTCGGCAATCAGTTTCTAATCTGCCTCTTGAATCCACGTTACTGGGTCACAAGAATATTTAAAAAAAGGAGCTTGTTAACCACAGCGTCTCCTCCCAATGTAATCCCAACCCATCCAGCGCTGGATTAGACAGATTACACAGCAGGGACACCAATAATCTTTTATGGTCCTGCACTCTCCTTACTTCAATCCTCTATAATACCATGACAAAAACATCATAACATTGCCTGGGGTTGTGTTACCAGCTGCAGCCACGTACACAACTATATGTGCAACTTCTTAGGAAACACAAGATGTTCGAATGTAATCTCCATCTGGTCAATCTGGTAATCAACAACACGGAAAACAAGGTGGTTTTAGCTGAGAGTTTGTCTTGTAATCTGTAGGTTGTGAAAGGGGTTCAGTCTCTGCCAACAGGCAATAGATAATGTTTTCTTTTGGGTACAAATAGGTTTCACCTCAAGAAAGTCCAAAATGGACCACCTTTCTTCCCCCACCCTTTTCTCATTGGAGAGATCTCCAGCTCTAAGTCTAAACCCTCCCATGAGTGTTTTATTGGGTTGAGATCTGGTGACAGTGAAAGCCTCACATCATTTCTGTATTCATCATTTCATTCTGCACYGCCTTTCCAGCCTCGTGGCATTTAAAGTGACCCCTAAAACAGTTAGACCAGAAAGGTTTTCTCACCGGACAAAGGTGATCACTCAAAACTAATTTGATTTGCAGCAACCGTTTTTGTCTCTGTCGGATTCAACCCATGTCTCCCAGATAATAACAGAGCTGCCAGACCTTCTCCCCTGCAGTGACAAGTGTTTCTATAGGTTTTATCTGCTGCACAGAACTCCGACTTCCTCGGCTCTGCTTTAAACTTAGGTTTAGATGAGTGAAAGGATCCTGTTTTGAGGAGTGCGTCAAAGTGAGATGCTTGTTTATGACTGTCACTCTGAATCCTCAGGTGAGTCACTTTGGTAGATGACARGGGGATGTTGTGCAAAGATGCAACAATGCAGCAAAGCAATAAAGCCTGAATCAACATCTGATGCAGAAGATAATGTGTGATCTGAGCAATAATGTCACACTTTTAATATTCTCAAATAGTTTTACATAACTGAAAAGAAATGCTGTTAAAGTCTTTTTCTACTAATCCAAGCTTGGTCAGATTTTGATATACAGTACAACCCTATTTCCAATGAAGTTGGGTTGTTRTGTAAAGCATTAATAAAAACAGAATACAATGATCTGCTAATCCTTTTCAAATGATATTCAACTGATGAATACACTACAAAGACAAGATATTTAATGCTCAAATGGATAAACAGCGTGTATTTTATATATTTTTTTCACTCATTTTGAATTTGATGGCAGCATGTTCTAATAAAGCTGGGACAGGGGCAACAAAAAACTGGTAAAGTTGAGGAATGCTCAAAAAACACCTGATTGGAGCATTCCACAAGTGAAAAGGTTCATTGGAAACAGGTGAGTGTCATGATTGGGCATAAAGTGAGCATCCTCGAAAGGCTCAGCCAGTCACAAGCCAGGATGGGGCGAGGTTCACCACTTTGTGAACAACTGTGTGAGCAAACAGTCCAACAGTTTAAGAATTATTCTCAATATACAATTGCAAGAAATTTTAAAACATGAAGAAATTTTATCGTCTATAGTTCATAATATCGTCAAAACATTCAGAAAATCTGGACAAATCTCTCCAAGTAAGCAACAAGGCCGAAAACCAACATTAAATACCTGTGACCTTCAATACTTTTGATGGCACCGCATTAAAAACTCACATCATTCTGTAACAGATGGGCTCAGGAACACTTAAGAAAACCCTTGTCAGTTCATCCCTACATCTACAAGAGGAAGTTAAAACTCTACCATGCAAARCCAAAGTCAGATATCAACAACGCCCATAAACACTGCCAGCTTCTCTGGGCCTGAGCTCATCTGAGATGAACTGATGCAAAGTGGAAAAGTGTCCTGTGGTCTGACAAGTCCACATTTTAAATTGTTTTTGGAAATCATGGACGTCGTGTCCTCCAGGCCAAAGAGGAAAAGGACTGTCTGGACTGTTATCAGTGCAAAGTTCAAAAGCCAGCCTCTCTGATGATATGGGGGGTGTTAGTGCCCATGGCATGTGTAACTTGCACATCTGTGAAGGCACCAATAATGCTGAAAGGTACAGGTTTTGGAGCAACATATATGCTGCCATCTAGCCATGTCTTTTTCAGAGACATCATTGCTTATTTCAGCAAGACTATGTCAAGCCACATTCTGCACCTGTTACAACAGCATGATGACTTTGTAGTAAAAGAGTGCGGGTACTAGACTGGCCTGCCTGCAGTCCAGACCTGTCTCCCATTGAAAATGTGTGGGGCGTTATGATGCACAAAATATGACAACGGAAACCCCGGACTGTTGAGCAACTGAAGTTGTTCATCAAGCAAGAATAGAAAAGAATTCCACCAACATACTTCAACTATTAGTGTCCTCAGTTCCCAAACACTTACTGAGTGTTGTTAAACTGATGTAACACTGTGGTAAACATGACTCTGTCCCAGCTTTTTTTTTTTTTTTTTTTTGGAACAAGTTGCAGAGCATCAAATTCAAAATGAGTGAATATTTGCAAAAAGAAATAAAGTTGATCTATTTAAACATTAAATATATTGTCTTTGTAGTGTCTTCAGTTGAAAATAGGTTGTAAAGAATTTGCAAGATTCTGTTTTTATTTGCTTCACACAACGTCCCAATTTCAGTGGAATTGGAGTCTTTGTCAGTCAGCTTTTAGAAATGACTTTTCTCCCTGATTTTGAAACAAAAATAAGATTATAAATCAAGACAAACTGATATTGGTACAGAAACCATTCTAGGTGCAGCATTAAAGCTGACAACAGATGTAATGGTTTATCATGACAGACTGTTTGCTGTAGATTATGTCATCCGCCCGCGCAGTTCAACATCTTTCAAGATGTTTTACCAGACTGAGGTCTCAACAAACAGGTTTC